GAGTGTACAGTATCAATCTCAGGTGTGTATTGATGGGTTGCAAGCGGTTTCGGGACTTGGTATTAATCTTACCAAGTTGAGATGGTTAGATTGGGCGATGAAAGAGATACTGAGAGTTGATGAGGGTTTTGGGTTGTAAAACTGTAATAATTGTCGATTAAATATTTGGGTTTACCCTGGGAGGCAGACTATAAAGAGGCAGGGACGTGGGATCCAAGGGTGGTTAGGTTTGAGAAGAGGTTGGTGGGTTGGAAGAAACCTTTTCTTTCCAAAGGAGGGAGACTTTACACTTATTAAAAGCACGCTAGGCAGTTTAGTCATTTAATACATATTGTTCTTGATTATTCTAGTGAGTGTTGTAAAGAAATTGGAAACTATCTAATGCAGATTCCTATAGGGCGATTCGGAGGAAAGAAGATGCTATCGTTTGATTGCCTGAGAGGAGATTAAGAAGCCAATCCCCTAGGGAAGACTAAGGTTAAGATCTCTAGTGGAAATGAACATGACCTTACAGGACAAATAGCTTTGGAGATTTATGAAAGAAGAGAGTATGCTGTGGAGAAGGGTGATAGAAGATAAGTTTGGAATTCCCAACGTGTCGCTACTTGGGATGGCTAGTATATCCAGAACATGAGGTGGTAAAATAGAATAATGACTTACATGAAGTGACAATACACCCAGCCTCGCTCCATCTTGCAACATCTCCACTAGTTGCTTGAACCTCTAGTCAAGTAAAGCTTTGATTTGATGCTGCACATCGTACATCTTAGCCATGGAATTAGAGAGCTTTTGGTCAACTTCTCTCATGTTGTCCTCCAAGGTTTGTAATTTATGTGGTTTGTTAACTACCTCCTTCCCTTTGCTTTTAACCATCGCCATGAAACTTGCAGACACTAGAATCAATTTGGACTAATACTAAGTTGTCAGGTACTTTTGACGTGTATTTGGTTACTGTTAGTGCGAGAATACAAAGAAGAGATGGATAGATAGAGGACAAGAATAAGGAGAAGAGTGAGAAAGGGAAGAAAACTTGAAAAGACTTCGACTGAAAAGATTTTTCTTGAGTATGAAGACTTACCATCTTCAAATCATGTAATACAAAGTATTTAAAACCTATAGAAACAAGGTTCACTGGAAAAATTATCTGAAACCCTTCTTGTTTAATGATGGAGGAGGGAAACCTTAGCCGCTCTTCTCAAAATGACCACTCGATTTCAAGACCCTTCTTCCAACCCTAATCCCCTCTTAAATAGCAGCCCCGAATCTTACATTACCTCCAATTATCCCTGATTGAAGCCACGTATCCTATTCATTTCTTGCTTATGCCGATTGTAAATACGTGCCCCTCTTAAGACCTGATTGTGCAACTTGTTAGCCAGTTGCTCTCCGTTTGTAAACCCTCACCTATTTTGGTCCCCTACTTCCATTCCATTTTTAACATCGTGAGCTTCCTTCTGTTCCCTGCTGCGGATTCTATTTTTTTCCTTGTGAGTTCTCTCTGTAACAACTACTTTAATCGGTTCTTTTGTTTCTTTTCCATCTATTTATTTGTCTGAGCTTCTGCATTCATGCCAAATTATATTCAAACTGATTAATTTTGTGGAATAGGAATGAGAATATGAGATTAAAATTTGTGTAAAAAATAGTATTCTGTTTTCAAGTAAAATTATATGTGCAATTCAAATTAGAAGTTTTTTTGATTCCTCCCTTCACAATTAATAATACAAATAAGATCATTCGGTGAAGATATGAGCGGAGTTGGTTTAATTATATATGAACTATGTAAAATTATTAGATTCTTTGTATTAAGTAATTAAACAATATATTTTGAATAGAAGTATATATATTTTACGAATTAGGTGAAATATGTGTATCCATCATGACACAAGCTCTTAACAAGAACACACAAGAACACTCAACTGAACTCAAACCTACAATTTTTTATAAAAGAATGAATGTACTAAATCCAGTTAAGGACTTGTTAGTAATAATTAAGATATATGATCGAATGAAAATAGAATAAACTTGAATTGATCGTGTTTATGTATTGCTTAACAATGACTTGTGCTTGTTTAACATTTGTTGCTTTTGATTCTTTACCGGCTCCTGTTTCTCCTTATTCACGAGATGTATCTTTTTTTTAATTAGATGGTCGTGAGGTTATTTGTTTCACCTATAGTTTTGTCATCCTCCAATGTTGTATAAAACCAATGAGATTTTTCCTTGGCTGGAAAGGTTTGCCTTTGATTTCATGAAGAATGTTATTCCCAGTAGTGTTTCTGAATTTAGCTGTGCAATTGCAGGTTGTTAATGGGAAGAACCATGGCTATGGGCTTCCAGCTGATATATGGAGCCTTGGGTGCACTGTATTGGAGATGCTAACCCGTCAGATGCCCTATTTAGATCTTGATTGGGTATGTTCTATGCATGTTCTAATCTGTTCTGGGCTTTTTACATTTATTGACCTTATGTTGCTGCAGTCACTTTTGGTCCCCAAAAGTTCTTGTAACATGCTCATTCATGGGTGGTTATATGTATGTTATGACTATTTGACATTATCTTTGATTTTGCAATCAAACAGGTTCAAGCCTTCTTTAGGATTGGGAAGGGTGAGCCACCACATGTTCCACATTCTCTCTCAAGAGATGCACGGGATTTTATCCTGAAATGCCTGCAAGTTAACCCAGCTTGCCGTCCAACTGCTTCTCAGCTGCTAGACCATCCATTTGTGAAGAGACCACTACCGACTTCATCAGGCTCTGCATCTCCTTATATTGGACAACGGAATTGAAGTTTATTTCTCAGTTTCAACTTCAAAGATCACAAGGTAAAGATCACTTTTTTTAGTCTCAAAGTAAGCAATAGGTGAAATTAAGGAATAAAGCTTGATATCACTAGATAAAACGATATAACACGAGGTATAGTGTGATTGGTGTACAGAGAATTGATCTGAGCAAAATGTCCCTTTAGGCGATGAACAGTACTAAACATATGGTATAATTACCAAAAAAACTTGCATTAGTTTTTTCAGTTTTAATGAGAACAAAATAATACTATATTCAATGTAATATAACACTATTTATTTTAATAAAACTATTATTATTAACACTTTTTTTAAAAAAAATTTAACCACAAATCAATAAACAATACATGAATAAAAGTTTTGATCGTATGTACTCTTATTTGTTGAGTTTCAGTTTGGAAAATTTTAAATTATAAGTTATTTGAACAATAACTACATAACTATGAACTAAGCAAAATATATTAATTATAATATAATATCAAGTTTTATGATGCAGATTATATCAGGCATAGTATGTATTTATATATTATCAAGCAGTTTTTTTAGCTATATACCCACATACATTTGGGCTTAAATAAAGCTGGATGAGAATAAAAATAATTAAGGTAATTCTTTAATAAAAGGGTAAGGGACAGTTTGGGAATTTGAAGAATTCTGTTAAAATAATTTTGATATTTTAAAATTTTGAGTTTATAACTGAACTTTGTAATAAATTAGTCTGACCAAAATGAGGAAGAAGTTTGTATTTTGTTATTTGTTCTGCTCTAATTTTCTTTTCTTAGCAATATCACTTGGTGCAAAATCAGTTGTACCAAAGGGTATGAAAAGCGTAAAAAGTCATTTCTGCATTCAGCTATGAGCTATCCTCTGTTGTACTAGTACCTGTATCTTCCTTTGGAAGAAAATACTATAGGACTTCAGGTACTGGAGGCAGTTGGAGAATTGAAATCCCATCTCAGAGTTGATTATATTAGATCTGGGACTCAGCCTATGTCCTTGAGTTGTCGAAATTTTTATTTATGTTCACTAACGATTCTAATTAATTTGATGAAATTTTCAATTGTAACTTTCATGGCATTGACCGGACCTGTATCTTATTTTGTTACCAGATCTCGTGTGGCTCTTGAAAACAGTCAAATCAGTAGATGGGGGCATATTTGTGTATTCTTAAGATGGGTAGATTGTTGTAGCAACAAGGGAATAAATATGCTTCTGGAGATGCTGTTGTGCTTGGAACAACTTTTTGGGCTCTTAAATACCCGGAATAGTTCCGGTGTTGACCTAGAACACCAGAACTATCATGCAGATCAGTTCCACTATTTTAAAATTAGTTTGTTATGTCATTGACTTTTGGAAGTGTAATTTCTATAGATCAGGTAATTTTTGTTGTATATTAGTCTTTTTTTTTACATTTTTCTGGCCCGGGAATTTTTAAGGATTGTAAGATTGTTAGGGCAAGATGTGGGACAAATAGTTGTAAGAATGGAAGAGAGGCGATTTTTTATCCTTGTATTTATATCTATATGATTATATCGATATATCAATCTTCATTAAAACAAGATAGTTAATTTGTTAATATATGTACACAGTATCAAGTGAAGTTGGAATATTATCTTACAATCTTGTTTTCATAATCTTTCAATAAAGTAAATGCATGATTAGGTTATTTCGGCACTGTCACGGAAATGTATCTTTCATCAAATTCTTGGTGTGCAGAAAGACAGGAAGAATGCATGGAAGGGAAACAATGATACAGAAGAATGTGTGCTATTGCTTTATATGCTATTAGTGAACGGCAGGAGAATGGTAGCCATTAACAGGAGATGATCCACCCAAATAAAGGTTTATTGCACTAACTTGGCAGGTACATTTTTGATGAACTGACTCAAACAAATATTTGCACTCGAATATAAGCGCGAGCACGGGCACGCACACACACACACGCATATACTATCAGAAGGTCTAGATTCTTGAACATGAAGCGGAGAGCAAAAGAGGGTAACAATTGGTTTAAATTGTCCGGAGAGAGGCATTGATGTGGTAAATGTGAGAAATGCCATATCTAGTATGTGTTGAAAGAAAGAAAATCTTTTAGTGGGACTTCATGAATTTCAAAAATTTGACTTCTCATATTTAGTACCTAATTATAGTACGTAATGACATAAAAAAAAAGAACAAAATCATTATTTTAATTTTTGATCATATGTTATAAAATAAATGATAAGAAATAAAGTGTGTAATAATTCATATAACATAATTATTTTGAGGTAAAAATGTGAGATTTTTGTATTACAGTAAATCTTAGGAAAAATATAATTTGCTCATAAGGCCTGGCCCTCAGATTGTTTGAAACTGATTTGAGCAACAAGAACGCCTCGAGACGCACAATATACATTATACATATAGGAGCGTATAAATGTCCCGCAAAAATGACAACACAGTAACCATTCGACCAACTCTTCCGTACTCTTCGAGAAAAATAATTTCTTTTTTAATAAATAAAATTTTAAAAAAGTAAATCAAAATCCACAGGTGCAAGCAGCAATACAACGCAACCTGCGGCCTTCATAAGTGCCCGCGAAGATCGGTGCTCTTCCTCTCCATTTGCTCGCCAACCGCCTCTACGGTTTGCGTCCGGCCTTCATCTCATTTGTTGTCCTTTTAGCCAAACACTTCTCGGAACTCTTCCCCTCTCGAAGAATATCCTCTTTCCTTCTCACGATCCGAACTTTGCTACCGTTGTGATTTGTCACGTAAGTTGACTTCTCTGATTCTCGATCTCCATTTTATTATATTCTCTCTATCGCCCCATTTTCGGGCGTTTCTTTAGGTACTTTTTTTAAATAAATATGTATATATATATGTATATGTATGTATTATGTCCCGCTGCATGTTTTGATCGGGGGAGATATGATTTTGTGGTCGTATTTGTATTCGCCTTTAGCGTTTGCTTTACTGCTTTGATTTGTTGGTACGATTTCTTACTCTCCTGTAAGTTATCCCTTTCCCTACCGCAATTGTAGTCTTGATCTGAAATTGGCCTCCATTTTAACTTGCTTATAGCTTTACTTTGCGAGTTTTCGTGTTATTCAGCCTTAACTCATTTGATAATTTGGCTGGAAGATCTTTAGCTCGGATAAGGCGTATTTTAAATTAGGAAAAATAAAATGATGATTACTGTGAGTTTAACGAGTTTAGGTTCATCTCGAATTTATTTCTAAATTTAAAATTTTTGGTGGTAATAAATTTTTGCGCTCTTTCTCAACTTGGACTTTTTTTGGGCTTCGTTGATAACTTTGTAAATAGTTAAAGTTGACGATGGTATTCTGATTTTAGATATTCCTCGCCCAAATGTTGCTCTTAGAGAAAATGGCTGTCGAAACACAGGTCTAATTCTACTTTAAGCCTCTGCTTAATTGCAAACATCTAAGATTTCCTTAAGAATAACATGCTTTGAAAATTTTTAAAAAATGTTGCTCTTAAAGAAACCCCTCTTAGTTCGGATGGGAACTTGGTGTGAGAAATAAGCATTCCGTTATACAAGAAACATCATAGTTTTGTTGATATGTGAGCTAAATACAGAGCCTTGGTACTTGGCTTTGTTTATTTCTCTATTTCCCAGATGGGTTGATATGTAAGCATACAGTATAGGAAGATGCAATCCAAAATCATGTTTAAGAACTCATTAATCCTTTATATTGGAAAAAAAAAATGCATAATGGCAAGGGACCAAGAAGCGCTTATATGTAAAGCTGAGGATGAAAAGGTCATAAAGAACCTAGGATGCGCTGTAGGAACATGGCAAAAAAAATATATATATATATTTTTTGTTTTGAGATAAAGGAACACAACAAAATATTAAGAGCTCAATAATCTCATTTGAACCCCAAGAAGGAGCAACAGGCCAGTGCATGAATCTTCCGTGAAAACTTTCCCAAAGGATGAAAGGATTTCATATTGTTTTATGATTTGTCTGATTACAAATTATTTGTCTTTCAGTTCCAAGTTGTGTATATAATTAGTGGATGCCTTTTTTCAGAGGGTGTTTGATATAGTTCGTCGCTTTTACTTCTTTGTACTTAGGGCTTAGATTTATCCTTCAGATTGAGTTTTTCTGTTTTCTCAACTCTGTCTTTTTGTGCAAGGAGATGCGTATATTTTACCAAAACAGAGCCTTATCCTTTTCCAGTTTTAAAGTTAGCAAATCAGATGAATGGTCTTGTGCCTATAAGAAAACTTTTCCTTTCCATCTTCCCTACCTCTTTCGATCAGGAGATTAATTTTTGCAATTGCAGTGTCTCCCCCATACGAGAAGCATGGGTTGCTCCTCCATCTCATTTAGAAATTCCAGTTATGATTTATCTGGATGTATTTTTTGGGTTCATGTTCTAGAATTTTACTTTTTGGTGGTTGTATCTTTGTGATTTTACCAACTAGGCTAGCAGTGTGTATGTAGTATCTAAAGGAATGATATGATTGCCGATCTTCATTTTTTTATCCTCTGAGCACTATATGGAGCCTGTGTATTGCTGTGTCTCAATAGTATGATGTTGTTTATCATGTAAGTTGTAACTTGTTCTCCATGTGCATCCATTAAAGTTCTTGTGCAGGCAGATCATTATTTAAAACCAAGAGTCACTTGATTCTTGGTGACAATGGGAGAACCTCACTAAGAAATCAGAACTTCAAAAAATATGTGAAGCAATGAATTTTCACTGACAGGTGGCTTCTGGCCAATGATTAGGTTAGGTGGGAGTCTGGGCCAAGGTAAGAGTGGTTGGAAAAAGAAGACAGAATATGTAAAAAAGATAATCGAACACATTCAACAATCTTAGTTACATTTCAAATGTCACATCTTAATCCATAAGCTGGTCCCTACAGTTCAATTGGTGAAAGCGTCTTTAGTTTCATATTCATTTTGGATGGAATGCAAAGCTAATATTTAGTCATGCAGTTGATTTCCATTTCGATAACCCGATTATTTAACTCTTCTATTTCATTGTTGCTTCAGTACAATCTCTTTTTGTTTTTTTTTTTTTCCCTGGGAGAGAGTTGCTTCAGTACGTTCTTGTCGCTAGAGGTGCTAAGTTCTGTTTTGTATTGGTAATGTAACATCCAAACTATTTTTTTCCAAGCAAGCACAATATTGATGCATTATATTTAAACTATCAAGCAACAATGCTTCCGTCCGTGTCTGTGCATCGTTGTGTTGACGTGACTTGTACATTTTTATCATAAGGTGAACAATACATTGAATTTGTTGGCTCATTGTTCTACCTTACACATTAGATGGGTCACTTGTACTCGGCAGATGAGGCCATTATCTGTACTGAATTTGTTGACCCATTGTTCAGCCTTATGCATTATATGGGTCACTTGCATTCTGCAGATGAGGCCATATTTGTACTGGCTTAGACACTTAAATGTTTTAACTTTGATATGTTGGCTCCTTATTGAAAAAAAAAACTTAATAAATAAGAAATAGACCCAAATCAAAGTATAGAAAAAATTCACTTGATTTATTCACCAAGTGTTTTAGCATGTCATTCTATTGCTACTTTCGTCATGAGATTGTGCAGAAGCTTTGATAAATGATTAATTTTTATTTATGGATTCTTTTTAGAATGAGCTGATCTCTATTTCTCGGTGTTTATCCATCAATCTATCTTAGATCTTCTTTTGTTTCAGATTTAATCTGCAAATGGCCAAAGTTAACATGGCAAGATGCAAGTCTACATCCCGACATCATAAGGTGACCCCATACTTGTTGCCTTCTTGCTCCCAAAAAGCTGCTAAGAAAGGTGATTCAAAGAAAAAATGTGGCAAAGCTGTGGAGAAGAAAGGTTGGGAAGGTGTGACGTGCTCTGTTTGCCTGGAGGTCCCTCACAATGCTGTGCTCCTCCTTTGTTCCTCTTATCACAAAGGATGCCGTCCTTTTATGTGTGCCACTAGTTGCCGCTTTTCTAATTGCCTTGAACAATATAAAAAGGCCTATACAAAAGTAACATCAATTGAGAGGGTACAGCAATGGAACAACTTAACAGATAATTCAAATGTGAGTTCTATAGGCAGCCCAGGCAATGAAGAGATGGAAGTGCCAGAGCTTCTATGCCCACTCTGTCGAGGTCAGGTGAAAGGTTGGACAGTTGTTGAAGCAGCTCGGAGATATCTCAATTTGAAAAAGAGAGCTTGCATGCAGGAGAAATGTTCATTTATTGGATCCTACAAGGAGCTCAGGAAGCATGTCAAGGCAAAGCATCCACTGGCACGGCCACGAGCTGTGGACCCTGCACTTGAAGAAAAATGGAAGAAGCTGGAGTGTGAAAGAGAGAGAAGTGATGTGATAAGTACGATTATGTCATCAACTCCTGGAGCTGTTGTATTGGGAGATTATGTGATTGAACCATTCCATGGCATTTATGAGGAAGAGTATGATTCAGAAGACTCTTTTAATGAGGACTATATCCATATGGAATCATTTGATCGAGGGCAGAGCAGTGTGCATTCACGCAATAGATATCGCCACCGTGATTTGGATGAGGATGGTTTTGCCTTTCATCACGTTCTCCCATCTCGCATTGTTTCTGCACCCAGTTTCCGCCCTATATTGTTTGCTAGGAGACGATGGATGCGAAGAGGAGTTAATGGTGGTCAGTAATTCTTATGGATGTTTTTGATAAAAAAATGGGTTCGCGCACTCTTCTAAAGTCTGGTGCTTTACATATGTTTTCTGATACTTACATGATCAGATGTATGTAGTAATTTGGTTTGTTACAGTTGACAAATTCAGTAGAATGTAGAAAAACAAGAAAAGAGAGCATCGTCCTGGGACGTTCTCATTCTTTTGAGGAGAACCAAAGCCGTTTTGGTCTTTAGTTCCTCATAGGCGAATGGACAAAGAATTTGACCACGCGTGTTGGTCAGTCGAACAGAGATAGAATGTTGAGAACATTCTTGTTATCTCCTTAGCATTTTGTATTCTTGTCTTCTTTCTGAATGATTCTCGATAATCTTTCTGATATATCTTGTATCATGTACAGTTCACAGAAAGAATTTGGCACTCTGGTGCAATTGATCATGTGTGTCGGTTTCAAACTGACCAAGAATTATTATTTTCTTGATCATCCTTTGCCGAAATTCTTCATTGATTATTCCAGACCTTTTTCACAGCCTAGTATGGTAAATCTTTCATCTGTAGCATACAAGATGAAGTGCCAAATGTACATATATTCAGTAGCGATTCTATATATTATGGATCAGAATAATGAAATGTCTTGATTTTAGCATAATCTAATCTGGAATCACATTCCAAATTACACCCAACAAGAAAGAAAATTACCCCCCTTGATTTTCATCCAATTAGGAGTAAAAAAAAAAAAATCCAACGGATTTCAATCTACATGTTGTTTGGGGTTGCACATAAAGGTGTAAGCAAAGCAACTTAAAACAATTGTATACTGATTTAGTAACATGATAAAAATTTATTTCTTGACGTTGGGTGGTACATAGAAATTACTATAATTTTCAAAATTAAATAAAAATATTTTACTTTATAATAAACTACTATGCACCTTCTCTTTCCTCACTTTATAATATACTAAAAATATTATACCCATAGGTAGAATGTAAAATTAAGCATAAATAAAGCAAAAAAAATTATTATTTTATTTATTTTTCACTGATAATATCAATTTTCTAGTAATATTTTGTGTTATTGATCATTCAATCTTTGTATTTTAATTTTTTTTAGCATAAAACAAATGATAAAAAAAAATGTAATTATTCGGAAAATATATTTTTAAATTAAAAAAAATTATGTTACAATAAATCTCAAGATAAAATATAATTTTTATTTAGGGCCTGGGCCTCTGATCGTGCAAAAAGTCATGGAGACGTGCAAGATAGATTAAAGTAAATGTATACGTATATACGTGTATATAAATATGGAGATAGTGCCGTAAAAATGACGACACAATAACCAAATCCTCCTCTTCTGTCATACTCTTCGAGGCAAACAGTCCCTTTTTTTTTTTTTTTGACAAAAAAGTAAATCAAAATCCATAGATGCAAGCGGCAACACAACGCAACCTGCGGACTTCCTAGTGCCCGCCAATATTGGTGCCGCCCGCCTCTTCGGCTTGCTTCTGCGACCAAACACTTCTCTGAACTCTTTCTTCTCGAACAATAGGCTCTTTCCCTCTAACCGGTCTAAACTTGGCTAGCGAAGTGATTTCTTAGGTAATTTGACATCTCTGATTCTCGATCTCCATTTTACTTTTGGTTATCTCTTTCGCCCCGTTTTCGGGCCTTTTCTTCAGTGCTTTTTTACAATATATATATATATATGTATATACAGGCGCACATAAATATATGTTAGTTTCCGCTGCATGTATTGATCGGAGGTGATTGGATTTTTTCGGTCGTACTTGTGTTCGGCTCTAGGGTTTGCTTTGCTGCTTTGATTCGTTGCGTACAATTCCTCACTCTCCTGTAAGTTACCTCTTTCCTTACCGCAATTGTAATCCTGATCTGAAATTGGATTCCATTTTTAACTTGCTTGCGGGCTTTATTTTGCGAGTTTTCGTGTTATTCTTCTCTTAAACTCATTTAATGTTTTGGCTGGAAGATGGTTAGCTCAGATAATTGCTGTGTTTAAGTTAGGAAAATAAAACGATGATTAATGCGAGTTTAACGAGTTTAGGTTCATCTCGAATTTATTTCTACATTTGAGATTTTCATGACAATAAATTTCTGTACTCTTTCACAATTTGGACTCTGTTTGGGCTTCGTTGATAACTTTGGAAATAGTTAAGGTTGATAGTGGCATTCTGATCTTATATATTCTTTGCCCAAAAAGACTCACACTCTGCTTGGATCCTAGTAAATGATAGGATTTTAATGTATTATGAAAAAGTCATATTTATTTCCAACTTCTAATGGTAATAAACGGTATCTAACCGATAAATTTGATATGAATTTTAAAATCACCGTGGTATGTGAATGACATGTTATTTTTCTTCTATTTATATTTTCATATAATATATTTAATTTTATTTTTATTCTCACAATTTATTATTTATTTATTAAATATAAAAATTTAATTTATAATAATTATTTATTTAAATATAAATATAATTATATCAGTAAATAATGTAATTTTTTTTTAATATATTTTTTACTATTACATAAATAGATAGAAATAAATTAGTAATTTGACTGAAAATACAATCATATCATTCTACCATCAAAAAAAAAAAATATACCATTAACATACATTAATATACAATCATCCAAACATAAAAAAATTTTGCTATCACCATTTTATGTCATTGCTATCCAATTACTGCCATTACCATATATTAATTAATCATCACTAAAATTTATCCAAACAGAACGTTAGTCGCATTGGAAATTGAAGTAAGGATTTCCAACTTTACCAATTCGGGTGTGACTCCACCGTTGATTAAATTTTTTTTCCTATAATCACGTGCAATATTGACTTAATCTTGTGTGATCATATTATTCTCGAACATAAGGAAGTTTTCTCATTCTGTCAAAAGTCTGGTGCAACTTTGAAAATATCAGAAACCAGTGAGATTTCTTGAGAACAAAAGCTTAATGGAGGTTTTGGATTTGTTTGTTGATAATTTTTTTTTGAAATAAAAAAAAATACCTATTAGTTTTATTGGGAAACATGGGTGCTTAAGAGCTCATTGGGAAACTTAGATCACCTTTGACTGCAAATATAGTGACAAATGCACACTCGGATTTCCTTAGGAGTAGCATGTTTTGAAATTTTGAAAGGCTATGTTGCTCATAAAGAAATCACTACTAGTTAGGAAGAGAACTTGGTGTGAGTAACAAGCATTCAATCATAGATCATTTGGAACATCATAGTTTTATTGATATGTGAGCTAAATACAGAACCTTGTGACTTGGCTTTATTTATTTATTTATTTCCTGGATGGGCTAATATATGACCATACAATATGGGAAAATGCAATCCCAATTCGTGCTTAAGAGCTCATTAATCACTTTATTTTAGAAGGCGGAAGTATGTATAATGCCAAAGGACCAAGGAGTGCTGCCTATACAGAAAGCTGGGGATGAACAGATGGTGTGCAGAATCTAGGATATACACACGGGGTACATGAAAAAATATTAAAAGCTCATTAGAACTGTTGTGAAGCACAAGAAAAAGGAGCAGAAGGCCAGTACATGAATCTTCCATGAAAAGCTTTCCTAAAGAATTGAAAGGATTTCATATTGTTTTCCATTTGTCTAATCACGAAGTTTTTGTCCTTCAGTTTCAAGTTGCATTGTGTATATAATTATGAGATGCTTTTTCTAAAGGGGTTTGAGATAGTTTCATGAGCGTTAGCTTTTGTACTAAGAGCTTAGATTTATGCTTCAGATAGAAATTTTCTTTTTTCTCCAATTCTTCATTTAATGCAAGGACATGTATGTATTTTTCCCAAAAAGAGCCTTTTCCTTTTTCAAACTAAAGTTCCTAGTAACTCCTTCAATCTCTCTCTCCCTCTCTTTCCCAATTCTCTTTTTGTGGCGGTGTATATCTGTGAAGTAATTTAGTTAGGTAACGATGTTGGGCCTATAAAAGAACTTTTCATCCCTGTCTATGCCACCTGTTTTTGTGAAGGGATTAATCTTCTAAAATTTGAGCATTTTCCCCATATTTTTGTTATGTTTCCTGGGGAAGCCTGGGTTGCTCCTACATCTCATTTTAAAATTCCAGTTATAAGTTATTTGGCTGTATTTTTTGGGTCGATCGTCAAGAATTGTCTTTTATGGTAGTTGTATCTTTTTTATTTTGCCACCTGGTCAACCAGCGTTTATATAGCATCATTAAAGGAATAATATTATAGTTGGTCTTCATTGTTTTGACTTTTTAGCACTATTTGCTGCCTATATATTGCTGTGCCTCAATGGTATGATGTTTGACATGTAAGTTGTAACTTTGTTCTCAATGTGGATCCATTAAAGTTCTTGCGCAGGCAAATAATATTTTAAACCAACAGCCACTTGGTTCTTGGTGACATTTGGGGAACCTTACTAAGAAATCAGGACTTCAACAAACATGTGAAGCAGTGAATTTCACTGTCAGGTGGCTGCTGGCCAATGCATGCAATGGGGCGGGTTAGGTTAGGTGGGAGCCTGGGGCAAGGTAAGAGTGGTTGGAAAATGAAGACAGAAATGAAATGAAAATAATAGTGCATCATTCAGTCTGTCTTAGTTACATATTAAATGTCACATTTATCCTTCATGTGCATTAAATAAGCTGGTATCTACAGATCAATTGGCAAAAAAGTTTTTATTTACATATTCATTTTGGATAGGATGCAAAGATAAAATTTATTCGTTACGTAAATGTAGTTGATCTTTCATATTCATGACTCAATTATTTAACTCTTCTGTTTCTTTTGTTGCTTCAGTATATTCTTCTTTTCTTCCTGGGAGCGGGTTCCTATACGTTCCTGTCATTACAGGTCTTAAGTTTTGTATCATATTGCTGCTGTCTCACATCCAAACTATTGTCTCTCGGCAATAATGATATAGGAAAATCAGGGTTATTTACCTACTTAGGGATTTGGGCTAAAAACCTAGACGCCACACATAGTACACCTGGAGTTTTTACACATTACATGCAAGTTTTAAACTGTTTGGTTGCATCACATAATTGAGTACTGAGAAATTCTCAAAGTATTTATTGCATAACTGAATGATAATTTGAAGGAGATTATAAAGGTATTTATAAGAGTGTCAAATAAGAAGCCTTTGACTGGCATTATTGAGCTCTATCATAACCGGGAAGCTTTTATCTCTAGCAACTAGAAAATAATTGTTTGCTTGTCTTTTTTTATTCTTTTGCTTTTCCTTGAGCTTTAAATGGAGGATGTCTCATTCTCCTTTGTTGTATTATTATTTTTGTCTTTCCGTCTTTAATAATATTTCTTCTTTTATAAGAAAAAAAGGGTTCCAAATAAGACCTTCCCAAGTAGGATTAGGCTATGAAATACTGAGACTCATAAAATTAGGAATAATACTGTTAATAAGATAGAAAATATCAATGCTAATAAGACTAGAGAGAATACTATGACTCAAATAGGAAAACTAAATATTAATACAAATAAAATCTTAAAGTTACTAAAACTATAATAACTGGGTCATAAATAGTATAGAAATTTTATATTTAATAGGATTATAATTTCTAATCCATTTAAGTAATCTATAGCTAATCCATTCTGTATCTCGCTTGGAGAAAAATTAAATACGAGCTTTAAAGTGGTGAATGGTGTAAAACATTAATCTTCAATCTTCCCCATGAGAATTGAACAAACTGTGTGCTTTGCCATTCTCTTCAGTGCCAACATAATATAGAAACATAATACTATGACTCAAAGATGAAGTTGCCATATTGATCAGTTTGTGCTTCAACTTCATCTTTGAGTTGAAAATCAATGGACCCATTTGTTGGCTTCACTTCCTTCTTGCATTGGATTTTCATAGGATTTTTACGAGGGAGTGAAAGGTCTTGAATAAACTTGTAGTCTTTACTCTTAAGAAAAGATGATAGTTCTTCTCGTTCTTCAACTTCAATAGTCTCTTTCTCTTTATCTTTTTCATTGACTG